CGCTACACTGGTCGTCTTCTCCTGCATTTGGTTTTGTGTACGGGATATAAGTGCTAGATCATCTGTGAGGTCTAAATGGTTCAGTTGCATCCGAGCTGTCCACTGCAATCCGTGTTTCCCCTCAGCTGTTGATGTCTTAATAATCCGGCTGATCACCAAGAAAAAATGTAAGGGTGATAGTAGGCAACAATGCCTGACACCGGTCTTTACATGGAACGAGTCTGTGAGGTGTCATCCATACACGATTTTGTGGTTTAATCCATCGTAAAAATTCCTTATGATGTTGAGTATTTTCCCAGTCATCTCACAGTGCTGAAGAAGCCTCCATAGTGTCAACCTGTACACGCTGACACATGCTTTCTCATGGTCAAGGAATTCAGTGTTTAGTGGGGAATTCCATTTAATTGATTGTTCCACACTGATCCGCAGAGTCGTGTGAGATTTCACCTGCACACGACTGGTCCTTAGGGAATCCAGCCTGTTGATGTCAAAATATGAAGTCTTCTGAGTCAGTCAGTCAGTTGCCACGTAGAACTTCGTACGTATGTACATAAGTTCAGGTTGCCATACCACATTAGCACAGAGACGCAAATGTCAAATCAAATCCCACAGAGATAGAGATAGTAGAGGTATTATTGGTAATGAAGAAGACTAGGGTTTGAAGGTACTATTCAAGAAGTATAATTCAGTGAGATAAGGTTATAAGGACAAACGTAGAGGTGCTGAAGAATCCAGAAGATTAGGATTTGAGAGAGCACAAGGAATAGATGCACTTGCGCCATTGCAAAAGATTTTGAGCCACGTCTTATAAGTTCCCTAACCATTGGTGACTTTCACCTCGCGGACCCCTACCAGGTAGCCTACATCTACCGACATGACTCAGTTCACTAGTCAGTGACTTCATGGAATTGTGCCATGTTTTGGTTTGGCCGCCCCTAACTTTCTTCCAACCTACTCCTACACCACAAAACATCACTCGTCGAGGCAGTAGGTGGTTAGGCATACGTAACACATGTCCCAACCACCTCATCTTCTGAATCTTCCATTCTGTTCAACAACAATTTCAACTCTTTAAAACATTATTTCTACACATTAAATCAGGTGATTCCAGATAGTTCCAGTATAAAGTATGTCTATTTGTTTTGCTTTAATAATTATTACTACGATTTCCTAATTGTAAGCAGCCTGAAAAAGAAACTCCTAAAAATTATTTTATTCATGTTATTCGCCCACGATATTTTTTTTGTTAATTCTATTAAAACCACAATTATCATCTATCGAATGACATATATTGTATGATTGTATGAAATCTTTGTATACCGCTTAGTTTAAAAAAGAAAGTGATCAAATGAAATGGACGGTTGATGCCTATCTTTTGTACAAAGGCTACTGTTATCATTTTGCAATAATAATAGTTCTATAAAATTACCTTCTAAATGTATATATAATTAACCAGTGTTGCTAAGCCAAACAATCACTATGGAAGCGGAAAAAGGAACTGCAACATCAGATCTATGAATATTGAGATAAAAAGAAAAAACTTGCAGAAAATGACAGACGATTTGTTTACCGAAAAAAAAAACATTTGTAAAATGGTCATCTAGTATAGGTATAGTATAGAGACACATTCATATAAGGTGAATGTAGAATCGAAACTGAGGTTTGGACTGAAGAATAACTGTCTAGGTAGTTTAGACACGCACTATTGCCCAGTTGAAACCAAAACAAAGTGATTTCGGTAAATGACGGTTCTAATATTCATCATAAATATAAATGTACATCATTACTTAAACAAATATTACCACTCAGTTTTTCCACTAACAATTGTTCAATTAATCAAATCAACAGCAGCAAATAAATGATATTCTATCCTTTCTGGATAGATCAGATTCATTCGATCGATAATATTTGGTTGCTTTATAACACAGAGTGTTTCCAATTCTGGAAGAGTGCTTCAATTCACAATCAAAATGCACAATTCCAGTCAATGCAAGCAACACAATAAAAGGAGGAACAAATCAATATGGCTGCCGCTATAACTAATTATCAACTTAAACAATCCAAGTGCAGTTCAGAAAGAAACATAAAAACTGAATAAAGGCATACAAAAAAATAGAAACTATGAAAAAATACAAGTATCATCCTCTCAAAATGGAATCGAACAGAATAAAAAAAATGTACAACTGAAAGAATCAATAAGAACCAATTACAAATGTATACATGGAGGGATTTTCACAAACAAAACCTTCAATTTCACAATGAAAATGAAATGCAGTGTTTTCACTAGCCACATAAATCCAACAAATCTGCAAGTACATTGCCATGTCATACGAGAAATTTAAACTACCTACAAAATGTTTATGAGAAAAATAATGTTCATTCAGATTTGTTAGCAGGATTATAAACTCTGTTCCATAACAGAACTATAAACGAAATATTAAGATGGTGGAGAAAATTTTTATCTCAGGTTGATGATTTTTGGTGGAGTTGCGTTCTCTGAGCTGTATGTTTTGGTTGTGAAGCTTTCATTGTTCTTCTTCTGAACAACATCATCAGCACAAATTTTAGATAGAAGTGCTGATGATGTTGTTCAGAAGAAGAACAATGAAAGCTTCACAACAAAAATATCCAGCTCCAAGTACGAAACACCATCACAATAAATGAAATATATGTTAAATGAACTTGAATTTCAGTACTAAAGGCTTCGTAAAGAAGTGTAGTTTAAATACTCTCAAAATAGTTCATTTTAAGTTTGAAAACAAGCTCACCGACAGGTAATCTCTTCTAACTGTAAATTTATCCTCAATGATCATTCAACATTAACGAAAAATTGCGGTACTCAAATTCATGGTTTTGTAGTTTCAAAATGTTTAGTTATTGTAAATTAGAACAAAATAAATACACTTACCAGTAAATGACATTTTGAAAAATGATTTAATTTTTTTTGATTGTTTTTTCTGAATTATCATTAAAAGCAAGAGCATCATCCGAGTGTAAATTTTAGAAATTTGAATTTTTTTCTAAAATTTCAATGTTTTTATTGAAAACTACTACCTTTTTTTGTTTAAAAAATTGTTTGAAATAATAAAATCCATATTTCATTTGTTTTGTTTTTCAAAAGAAGAAAAAAAATAACTAGATTTTATAACGGTTAGTTTAAAATCAACTTCATCAAACTGGAAACAAAATGTTCACAATATTTTGTCATTTTGTATATGAAATTATTTATTAAAAAAAAAATGAAATACACATTATATTCAAGTTAATTTGGCATCATAGTTAGTTCAGTGTAACATTTTTCAATGAAAACACTATTGAAATTTGAAAGGAAAATGGTTTATAATAAAACTGATGATCACAATAAAATAAATAATATTCATTGGAATCACCATTGATTGCGCGCGAATGCCTAACTCCTGAAACGAAATCAAAACTCAACAGACTGATGTTTGAGCAAATTGATTGATGATTGAAATTTGTGGAGTATGGAACAGTTGTATAAGTCTTGTTTAGGAGGACTTTTGGACAGTGGATATTCACCATTACATTACAGATAGAACTCAGTACGTACCGGTCTTCGAATCTCACCCATCATCCAAACCACATTAAGCAGCTCAGTGGCAAGTTACTTGGAGATGAGTTGATAAAATTGTGGTAAAAAGTTGTGAATGGTTGAATTTAGTTACTTCCAAAAACTGAGTTATAGAAGCATTATATCGAGCATTATTTGACAGAAAACGTAAGATTTCAAGAAGAAGCACTGGAAGTGGATAGGACATACATTGAGGAAAGCACTCCACTGCGTCACAAGACAAACCCTCACTTGGAATACTCAAAGTCAAAGGAAAAGAAGAAGGCCAAGGAACACATAACGACTAGAAAGAGAGACAGAAGTAGCAAGAATGAACAACAGTAGGACAGAACTGGAAAGGGAGGCCTAGGACAAAGTAAGTTGAAGAATGCTAATCGGAAGCCTATGCTCCATTGTGGTTAGTAGTTTTAAGTAAGTAATTAAGTGAAATTTCAGCGTTTACAGTGCAACAACGAAAATACTAGAACGATCGCCTAACATATGAGATGGAATCTCCTCTGAGTAGTAACACACTAAGTTTGGCGGATTTTATCTAAATGACTAAGTTTTATCAATGAAATCTACATAACACTTCAAAAAATCATCTTTATTAGTAACCACATTTTGTAGAATATAAATAAGTAAACTTTTGTCTAGCACTCTCAGCTATTTTTTAAAATTTATTTTGAGGGTGAGTAGGGAAAATCAAAAAATGCAGTTTTCTCTGACGATTTTTATTTCAAGCATGTAGAATTATTCACACCTACCTTCTTTTGAAATATTTAAGTACATTTT